AGCCAAGAAGCTGAAGCATAAACAGCCCGCGTTGCTGGTTTCGGCGCTGACACCGCCACGAGCACAGGCCCAAGATGGCGCCGATGCGCCGCACTCGCCATCCGCGTACTCAGACCGCAGCGACCTCACCTGCATATCGGAACCAGCGGAGACACCTGCAACCGACCTCTCCATCCACAAAATGTTGCAAGCTCTGCAGACATCTCTTCAGGCCGACATGATGAAAATGTCGCGCGACATTAAAACGGAAATCCAAGCGCTTGGAGACAGGACAGCGCACCTCGAGGACAAGACAGACGAGGTTATCTCTGCCCACAACACCCTGGCAGACGCCTATACTGAGTTGAGAGACAAACTGGACTACCTCGCGGGCAAGGTCGCGGACCATGAGGACAGAGACAGGCGCAGTAACATACGCCTCCGCGGCATCCCTGAGGAGGTTCTCCCTCAAGACCTCCAAACCTATGCTGTACGCCTCTTCCAGGCCTTGGTTCCTGACCTGACACAACAGGAATGCCTCATCGACCGCATTCATCGGCTACCGAAGCCTAAATCTCTCCCAGCCTCAATCCCGAGGGATACCATAGCGAAGCTCCATTACTACACCAGCAAAGACAAAGTAATGAGGGCTGCAAGGACCCCAAAGGCTCTACCGGAAGAATTTGCAAGCGTCCACCTTTTCACTGATCTTTCTGCCGCAACCTTGCTGAAGCGAAAAGAGCTGGCCTGCATCACCAAATCGTTGAGGGACGCCAATGTCCCCTACAGATGGGGATTCCCAACCCGCTTAACCATCCGCCGCAATGGCGCTGACCGCCATATCACTTCAACAGACGAAGGACTTACGCTCCTGAAAGAATGGGGCATCACCCCAACGCAACCTCCCCAGCAAAATGCCCAAGCGAAGCTGCAAAGATCACGGTCCCCGAGAAAGATCCCGACAGATTGGAACGTGATGTCTACAGATAAGTGAAACGAACTGACACTCTGTTTTCTCACATAGTGAGGCACACTAGCCTAACACACTCACCCGTCAGGGCCATGGACTATACTTCTTCTTTTCTATTACGGTTGTTTATTTTGTTGTTCCTCTCTTGGGCCCAACACCATGCTTCGTACTGTTTCTCCGCCTTGCCTATGCCGCACCTACACTTATTCGGTGATCGGCCGCTGAGGCTGAGCCTTGCTACCATGCCCGGGCCTTAGACCTGGGCCCGGCCATGGCAGTGACGCACCGGTTATAGCACAAATAGTTCTCTATACAATCTCTATGTCCCATTGAACGTTAATGTCTATTGTATTATTTGCATACATAATGCTCCGCCCCCACTCCCACAAGACGCATTTACCCGACACGGTCACCGCTACAATGGCGGACGCACTGTCATTACACATCAACATGAGCCTGGGATTGCCTAGCTAGCCCCCTCTGTGGCACGCATGCGGTGGGTGGTGGCTGGGCAATCTCGATAGATGGCAACTCAGGCAAGCAATTGGGCATCATGCTCTCACGTGTAGGATACAGTCCACATGTTACCATACCCACCATCCTTATTGGGCACTGTGTTGGCTAAGGGCACAGAACCGATGAGATCGCCCTCTACTGTCCCACCTAGATTCAATACTACCCTCTCAATTAAGATGGGTTCCCCCACGGGTATAACATGGTGAACGGAATTGAGGTTACCCCTCTTTACTTAGCTCATCAGGGTGGTAAGACCTGCCAACTCTCACCACCCCACTAGGCTCAACCGAGCCCTCTCCACACCGCCTATGCTCCAGGGCGCTCCAACCGGCGTTTTTTTGTATATAGTTCTCTATTATCACCTGTTTCAACATTCGATATGTTTCTGTTTTCCCCCTTCCCACCCCCTTCTCCCCAAACAATGTATACACGTTGTCAGGAAAGCACAACGACCATATAAAGTGTTAACAACATGCTCTGTTGACATTTTGGAGGGCATGGTTCCCTCGCCACATCTGCAAATGCACACTACCCAAGCAGGCCACCCTAACAAGAGTGCCAAACCCCCTCATATGACACACCTAGTCCCGCCATTGGGTGAAACAGCAATCGCTCCCCCCCCACCATGACACTCAAGATTCTATCCTTAAACACGAAAGGCCTCAACTCGCCACACAAGCGTAGACTGGCACTTGAAGAAGCAAAAAAACACAAAGTCCAAATTGCCTTCTACCAAGAGACCCATTTCAAATGGGGCGCACGTCCCAAATTCTGCTCCAATGCATTCCCTCATGATTTCCACTCCTGCTACAAAAAAAAGAAGCGGGGAGTGTCCATCTTGATAGGGAAAGGAGTAGCTTTCTCATTACTCAAGAAAACAGGAGACAAGCATGGGAGATATTTGCTACTCCAATGCTATATAAACAATGAACCGTATACGCTTATCAACATTTATGGCCCACACACTAATCAGACGGAATTCACAGATAAAATCCTCGCTCTAGCGAGTGCACACAGATTTGGAACTCTGGTTATTGGCGGAGACACGAATTTCCTCCTAGATAGCTCTCTAGACTCCACATCTACTGCTAGGCTGACCAACACATCCGCACGTAAATCGCACAAAATCTCGTCGTTGCTCTGCAACCAGATTCTCCAGCACAACCTTTTAGACCCTTGGAGAGTCCTCCACCCACTAGAGCGAGATTATACCTTCCACTCGTTAGTCCACAATACATATACTAGAATCGACAGGTTCTTAATTCCGACAACGTTGATGCAGGCAGTTCAGACAACAGATATAGGTCTGGTAACTTGGTCAGACCATGCTCCAATAACTCTAACCTTACGGGAGGCCTGCTCCGCCGTGGGCAAAGGAACATGGAGACTGAATGACTCCCTGTTGAGGGACCCTAAAATTGTAGACCAACTCAGAGTAGACCTCACCGACTACTTCAAAACGAACTTAACCCCCGACGTAGACGTGACTACTGTCTGGCTGGCACACAAGGCGGTAATAAGGGGTCTTCTGATTAGAGCAGGTAGCCACGCTAAAAAGCAAAGACTCAAAGACTACTCCGACCTAATTGCCCGGATAACTGATCTTACCCATAAAAATAAAACACACCCCACGCAAATACTGCGTCAAGAGCTGTCCGTTCTACATACCAAACTGGGTTCCCTGGAGCAAGCCAAAACCACTCACATACTCCAACGTTATAAACATAATTTCTTCTCTCAAGGGAACAGGGCGGGTGCCCTCTTAGCCGCAAGACTCAAAGCACGCACGGCCCACTCCAGAATAGCATATATCGTTACGGCTACAAAACAGAAACTCACAAACCCTCAAAACATAGTTGACGCATTTGCAGAGTACTATAGCAAACTCTATAACCTTAGAGAAGACCCCAAGATCACACCACCATCCACGCAAGACATTCTTAACTTTCTAGCACAATCTGACTTACCCAAATTATCCCAGGAAGACACATCTTCCCTCACTGCACCGTTTACCACTCAAGAGGTAGATGCTACAATCAAGCAACTTCCTAAACAAAAAGCACCAGGCCCAGATGGCTACACCAACTTCTACTACCAGACCTTTGCCCCCATCCTATCACCACACATATCTGCACTCTTCAACCAATGCTACTCACAAGGGGCCCTACCCCCCGAAATGTTAAAAGCCCATATCTCCACCCTCCCAAAACCAGGTAAACCTCAAACACAGTGCCAAAATTTTAGACCCATATCTCTACTGAACGTAGACGTTAAACTATATGCTAAACTTCTAGCCAACCGGTTGTCTACAATCCTCCCTACATTAATACACAATGATCAATCAGGCTTTGTCAAAACGAGACAGGGCTCGGATAACACAAGGAAAATCCTAAACATCCTATCCCACACACATAGCGCGGGGGGAAAGGGCCTTCTCTTAGCGCTAGACGCGGAGAAGGCCTTTGACAGGCTCAATTGGGACTACATGCAACAGGTCTTAAGGGCGTTTGGCTTCACAACACCCATGATCTTGGGCATTATGGCATTGTACAACGCCCCAACGGCTCAGGTTTCTAACGCTGGCTTTCTCTCCACCCCATTCAAAATAACCAATGGCACACGCCAGGGGTGCCCCTTGTCCCCATTACTATTTGTCCTTTCCCTAGAACCGCTAGCGCAGATAATCAGACGTCAACCCGAAATTAAGGGCATGGCGGTGGGCAAATCCGAGTACAAATTGTCCATGTTTGCGGACGACATTCTCTTAACATTGAGTGACGTGTCCTCGTCCCTACCCGCTTTGATGTTGCTCCTAAAACGCTATGGTGACCTGACATACTATAAACTAAACCAAAATAAAACCCAAGCTCTACCCATAAACCTTACTAAAGACTCAGTGCAGGGCCTCAAAACCATACATGACTTTGACTGGAGGTCTGACCACATCACCTACCTCGGGGTCAAAATCGCACCCACAACTGAACAACTATATCAATACAACTATAAACCACTCCTCAACCTATGCAAATCTGAGTGCCTAAGGTGGAAACCAGTCAAGCTATCGTGGCTAGGCAGAATCAACACAGTAAAAATGGTCCTCCTTCCCAAACTGCTGTACGTTTTCCGCCTCCTACACATACAGGCTCCACCAATGTTTTTTAAATCACTCCAAAAAGTGCTGTCCTCCTACGTATGGGACGCCCATAGACCCAGAATTTCCCAACGCCTCCTCCAGAACCACCAGACGGATGGGGGAGTAGGCCTACCAGATATATACACATATTACAAAGCGGCCGTCTTGGAAGCGGCAGTAAAAATACATACCTCAAAAGGGGTATACCAATGGGTAGACATGGAAGTGGATCAACTCACTAGCACATCCCTAGTAAATATATTCTGGACACCTAAGCCACTACGCCCAAAAAACATAACACTCCTCCCAACCACCACGCTAACCCTATACCATTGGGACATGTTACGCCAGAAACAAACTGCACCTCACAAATACCACCCACGTTCCCCGCTGACAGCCCTGAAAGCGTTATCACCCTGGCTCTCACTGAACTCGTGGGTTAAACTGGGAATAACCACACTCGATCAGGTCCTCCAGCTGAACCGCATCAAACCCTTTCCAGACTTACAAAGGGAATTTCACCTACCTAACTCCTCAGTGTTTCTATACATGCAGCTCAAGAGCATTTTACCCACTCATGTCTCCCATACAGCTACAATACACAATCCAGATCTACGGGATCTGGAGACCCTATATGACAGGTGCTGGAGAGCCCCAACCAAATCCAAATCCCTTGCCTCCTGCTACAAAGTCCTTCTACAAACCTCACCACCTCCACCCCCCATATTTGTGACACAATGGCTAAAGGAATGCACAACGATCTCCAGCAGGGTAATACTAGCGTCTCTTAATGCACTCAAAGGACTAACGCAATGTTACTCCCACATCGAAGCGCATAAAAAACTGGTGTATAGATGGTACCTAACTCCCCAACGGCTTCACCAAATGTATAAAACGGTTCCCCCATACTGCTGGAGATGTGGGACGGAAAGTGGAACGATGACACACATTTGGTGGTCATGTCCACGCATCCGCCCGCTATGGCAAGAGGCGCAAACTATACTGCGAACCATAGGCATCGTAACACCACCCCTAGATATACACACTGGTATATTTCTGACATACCCCAAACTCCTACCAAAAAAGGTTAAAGTTATCATGGCACTCATAGCACTGGCAGTGAGAAATCTAATTGCAAATCACTGGAAGCTACCACGCTGCCCCTCTAAGACTCTCCTAGTGGCCAAAATCCACCAATACTACACCCACGAGTGTTTATCTACCCAAACTGCGGCACTTAAAGTGCGCCTCCTGGCAACTTGGGCTCCATGGGTAGAGTATTGGGAGGGGCAACCCACGAACCCTTCCTCCTCACCCCACCAGTGCAGCCTTCTAAAAAACCCAACATATACAGACTCGGATTCGAACTAAGGTGACAAGCAATGGGGCGTGCACATTGCACCCCAAGCATTCTGTACTCTGTATTATGTATTCAGCATTCTATGTTTTTCATAGCGCAGCATGTACGAAAGAGTGATTTCACGCTGTACTCTATGACGAGATGTATCATTGTTAATCCTGACAACCCAGTCCCTACCCCTCCTTTCTTCTTTCTGTACCTCACCCCACCCCTCTGAAAAATGTCAATAAAAACCTTAAATATGAAAAAATATATAGATGTGTGTTATTTCGTTCTAACTGTATTGTGATATTAATATATATATATTTATATTAAAATACACGTAGAACGAAATAATATATATATCTACATACATAAATATATACGTATATATCACTATATATATATACCTATATATAAATAAAAATATTTAAAAAAAAATTATATATATATACACATATAGATTCACATACATATATATACATATATTAATTCTACATATATATTTATGTAATATTTTTACATAATTAGGTATCTTAATTAATTACAATTAGCGGAACCTGCCTGACAACCCATGCCGAAAGTAAAGGGAATTTAATTTGCTAGCACTATATTTAACCCTATAATTTTCCAAGACACCATAAAACCTGTACACAGGGGGTACTGTTCTACTCGGGAGACTTCGCTGAACACAAATATTGGTGTTTCAAAACAATAAAGTGTATTACAACGATGATATCGCCAGTAAAAGTGAAGTTTTTTGCCTTTTTCATGCACAAACAGCACTTACACGGACGATATTATTGCTGTGATACTTTTTACTGTTTTGAAACACAGTGCCCCTCATGTACAGGTTTTATGGTGTTTTCAAAAGTTACAGCGTCAAATATAAGGCTTGCGTTTCATTTTTTTCACATTAAAATTCGGGCGGAGGAGGCAAGATCCGCTGCGGGGTACCCGGACCACGATCGCCTAAGTAAGTAAGAAAAACCATGAGGGCGCACTATTACGCCCTGTGGCGTTTAGAGCCGCTTAGACTAGGGCGTAATAGTACGCCCTCCGGTTTAAGGGGTTAATATAAAGCACGTCAGGTATTGTTTTCTTTTTACATTGTTTTATTACCAGTATAAATTCCATAATAAATGGATCCAAGTGATACATTTCTAAATAGAAAACAGTTCTTCACGTATTATACGCAGACACAGTTTGGGAATTTTCCATGTACTGAATGATGTTTGTTACTGAGTGAGTCATTCTGTTCTTGCTACCCAGCAGGTTTAGATCACTGCAGTACCATAGAGAAGATTTACAGATTGGCAGCTCGCTGGGGCAGAAGCCAATGTTAAATATCACAGGCAGGGAACAGCTGATAAGATTGCTCAATTTACACTTCAGTGGGAAAATGGAAACTATTCCAGTAACCTTATCTGGATTTTTCTGAATTGTTTTAAAACCTAGAATATTTTTTTTCTCATTAAATATATTCAAATATTATGATTGACATGACTTTTGCAAATTCTAAGCCAGAATAGCTAACTGGAAATATATCCAACTTGGAGAATATTTCCAATTCTGCTTTTTTGGCTTAAAATTTGAAGTTCCTTTTAATTTCTTCAATTGCTAGCTTAATGTATATATTTTTTCTTTTAACATTCTACACCAGAATAATTTTTTTATTTATTGCTCCTTGTATCATCTATTTTATATTCTTCTATTTATAGGCATTGCTAGGTGAGGGGGCTTTTGGGGGCTGAAGTTTCAGATCTATAGGGTTGGCACAGTAGACAGGAAAATGTTTAATTTTTTATTTTACAGCAGGCATGGGCTTCTAAAAGCAGCCACCTATTATAGGCATAGTGCTTTGCCAGGCTACTTAGCAGGAGTGCCACCCAGGGGAATGTCAACATAGAGTGTTGGGGTACAGATCTTCACTGCACACCTCTCCCATCTAGCATGATGATTGCATTGAATACCTGCCTGTGCAGCATATGAAAGAAAAATAGAATGTGACGGCAGATAAGAACCATTCGGCCCATCTAGTCTGCCCAATTTTCTAAATACTTTCATTAGTCCATGGCCTTATCTTATAGTTAGGATAGCCTTATGCCTATCCCACGCATGCTTAAACTCCTTTACGGTGTTAACCTCTACCACTTCAGCAATGGTTTTGCTAGTACACCACTAAGCTCCTTTAATAACGTTGGGTGTATTCCATTAGGCCCCATTAACTTATTTGTCTTTACTTTTGACAATTTGTGACGAAATGCCTTTTGTCACTGGATTGTTAGGTGACAAGCTGCCCTTTGCCCCCGGCTGTTGGAGGAGCCTGATTGCCAGCCTCCTTCCTCATGACTATGGCCCTGGGGTTTATTGCCATTTAAAAAAACTATTTGGGGCTTATTGGCTTCTAAAGACTGTTTCAGCCCATTTGAATTCATGGGAAGGTGTAACTCTTCCCCTCCCCCGTTTCCCGTTTCCTGTCTATTGTTCTCCAGTAGGGCGTTGTCCCAGGCACACTGCCAAACCTGTTGGAACTGACTGCTTTTGTCCCTCCTTGGTCTCTCAACAGCCCTTGCTATGCTTTACCCCATGGCAAATTTACTCTGTTCGTGGCATCTGAGCGCTGTTCACCTATATTGGGCACTCAGATCTGAGCTATCTGGGGATAGGTTAAATGTGGAGGTTCTGTGTAATATAATAAGAATTATGTATTTTTATGTACTTTTACGTATTTTTATATTATTATGTTAATTAGTGTTCCCATTGGTTTGTGTCCCTTTTGTCACAGTTTACCACCAGGTTCAGGGGGTGTGCCTCTGGCCTGAAAACTTGTATATAAGGAGTAATAAACGCTTATAGGAGTCAGATCATCTTGTACCTTCATGAAGTTTCAGCTCATGTTTGGGGATTGGAGAACTACACTCTGGGGATTGCTATATTCACATACTCCCTAGGGTATAATCACTAAGTTCTACTAAGAGCTTGTTCCTGTTCCTGCTCTCTGAAATTCGGAGAGGTCGTTCTACTGGAAGCTGGACCCTGGACTTGGGTCCAGAGTTGGTGGAGACGGCGAGACCCCAACCAAGCTGTGGCGGTTCGTGGGGTCTGCAGTGGTTATGGTGTTGGGCAGAGTGCTTGGAGTCCTCGGAAAGCACTAGGAGTATCCGTCAGCGGAAGGTACCCGGTCGGGGTGCCAGCGGTTCCGTTACACAATTGAATATAATAAGAATTATGTATTTTTATGTACTTTTATGTATTTTTTCTGTTTGTGTAAAATGTAGATATTTTCTGTGCCTGGAGATAATTGAGTTTACAGCAGTGCCTTAAGCCAATTATCTCCAGGATGGAGAGGAGGGATTTTTTTAATTGTTTATATGGGAGTGTTATTATGTTAATTAGTGTTCCCATTAGTTTGTGTCCCTTTTGTCACAGTTTACCACCAGGTCCAGGGGGTGTGCTTCTGGCCTGAAAACTTGTATATAAGGAGTAATAAATGCTCATTGGAGTCAGATCATCTTGTACCTTCATGAAGTTTCGGCTCATGTTTGGGGATTGGAGAACTACACTCTGGAGATTGCTATATTCACATACTCCCTAGGGTATAATCACTAAGTTCTGCTAAGAGCTTGTTCCTGTTCTCTGGAATTCGGAGAGGTCGATATACTGGAAGCTGGACCCTGAATTTGGGTCCAGAGTGGGTGGAGACGGCGAGACCCCAACCAAGCTAATGCGCGGTTCGTGGGGTCTGCAGTGGTTATGGTGTCAGGCAGAGTGCTTGGAGTCTTCAGAAAGCACTAGGAGTATCCGTCAGCGGAAGGTACCCGGTCGGGGTGCCAGGGGTTCAGTTACACAATTGAAATAGAACCTCTTCCTCTGTAAACTCACATGTAACAAATTACTCATTTGTCCCTTTCCTTCATTTTCATCTGTAAATACTGAACACAAATATTCATTGAGGCAGTCAGCTAGACCTTTATCCTCTTCTACATACCTTCCTTCTTTTGGTTTTATTCTGACTAGTCCTTGTTTTTCTTTCCTTTTCTCATTTACAGTTGCAAGAAAAAGTATGTGAACCCTTTGGAATGATATGGATTTCTGCACAAATTGGTCATAAGATGTGATCTGATCATCATCTAAGTCACAACAATAGACAATCACAGTCTGCTTAAACTAATAACACACAAAGAATGAAATGTTACCATGTTTTTATTGAACACACCATGTAAACATTCACAGTTCAGGTGGAAAAAGTATGTAGTTGCCCTCTTGAGATTGTGTACTAAGGCATGTTTTATGGATTCTAAGAAATATGTTTGCCCAGTCCTTTGGGGAGATATGAATGTTAAGTTCTGAATTTGGGTAGCGGGTGTTCATTGTCAATTGTTAGTAGTTTGTACATAGTAGATAGTTGTTTGGTTTTTATCTTGGTGGATGTGCAGAGTTTTTCAAATTTTGTGAGTTGTCTTTTTCCCTCCGTTAGTTCTGGATGGGATGAGAGAAAGTGTGCGAGTTGCCTTTGTTGGTAGTGTTGTAACGTTGTCTGGTTAGTGTTTGTCGTTGCGGTGGTGAATTTCTCGGCATGTCGGGCCTGCAGCGTTGATTGTAATGTAAGGTAATGTGTGGCTTGTAGTGAAGCGAAGGAGGATTGGAATGCTCCTGGTGGGAATTGTGGGTTGCGGGTAATCGGATATAGTGGGGATGGGTGAGGGCCTATATTATGTGACATTCTAATTTTTTCCCATAGCTTAAGAGTTGGAGTAATTGTAGGTTGGTGGTTGTGTAGTGGTTTTAGTGATAGATTACCCTTTGTTTGTCAAGGGATAGTATAGATAGGGTGTGTGAAGGCGGCATTTTCTAATACCACCCATTGTGTGCTGTTTGTGGGTATTGTCCAATCATAGATTCTGGAGAGCATAGCCGCTTCATGTTAAAGTTCTATGTCCGGGAGACTTAGGCCTCCTTGGTGTTTATGTGCTGTTAGTAGTTTAAATGGTAGTCATGGGTGGTTATGAGACCAGATAAAACGGGTGAATTGTTTTTTAATTTCTGCGAAGAAGCTTTTTGGTATTGCTATAGGAATGGTTTGTAAGAGATATAGGAGTTTCGGTAGTATGTTCATCTTGATTATGTTTATACGGCATAGCCATCCAAAGATAGGCTTGTGCAATCTCGTTAGGTCCTTTGAAATTGTTTGTAGAAGGGGAGGGAAGTTTAGGTCGTATAATTGGGTTAAACATATAGGTAGGTGAATCCCTAGGTATTTAACTGCCTTTGGTGCCCAAATAAACTGGTAGGAGTGTTGTAAAATATATTTAGTGGATGTTGAAATGATTAGAGGTAGGATTTCGCTTTTAGTGAAGTTGACCTTAAAGTTTGAGAGGTGTTGGTATAGGGAGATTTCATTTAAGATTTGTGGCATGGAGGATTTTGGATGTGCCGCTACTTTATATTCTGTATCCTTCACTACTATGCCATGGACGGATGTGTTGTCTCTAATGCCTTGAATAAAGGGTTCCATGATCAAGACAAACAATAAGGGGGATGGGGGCATCCCTGTTTCGTGCCGTTGGAGATAGTGAGGGGTTCTGAAAGTTGACCGTTGATCCTAATTCGTGCTCGGGGTTTGGAATATATAGATTTTAGCCATTGAGATCAGTTAGTGCCAAATCCCATAGTCTTTAGTGTGGCAAATATCAAGGACCAGTTCACCCTATCAAATGCCTTTTCGGCGTCTATTGATAGGAGTAGGCTTTCTGATTGTGATTGATGTGCTAAATCCATTAGATTGATCAGTTTTGTGGTGTTGTGTTTGGCTTCTCTTCCGGGGATGAAACCTGCTTGGTCGGGGTGGATCAGGTCTTGTAATAGAGGACGTAATCTGGTAGCTAGAATTTTGGTGAAGACTTTGAGGTCCGTATTGATTAATGAAATAGGGCGGTAGTTACCACATAGAGAGGTGTCTTTACCCAGTTTGGGAATTAGGGTTATGTGCGCTTCTAGTGCTGCATCTAGAAGGGTTGGGTTTGTGGTGAGGGAGTTGAAAGCCTTAATGAATGGGTTGGTGAGTGTGTCTGAGAATATTTTATAGTATTTGGCTGTGTAGCCATCTGGGCCCGGACCTTTTCCAAGAAGGGATTGCTTGGTTGCTGATAAGAATTCATCTGGTGTTATTGGTGATTCCAAATGTAGTAATAGGTTTTGGGGTATTGTTTGTTTTATTCAAGGGGTTAAGTAGTGTTCTAGTTCTAGAGCTGTTGGAGTGGAAGATCGAATGTTATAGAGTTCTGTGTAGAACCTCTGGAATTCATGTAGTATGTCTGTGATTTTATGTGATATGTGTCCCGATCGTGTTTTGATTTTGGATATAAATGTAGTTTGTCTCGTGTCTTTAAGTGAGTTAGCTAGGAGGCGTCCACATTTGCCTCCTTTGGAGTAGTAAGAGTATTTGGTGAACGTCATTTGTCGTTTAATTTGGGTGTTCATCAGCTTTTGTAGTTCCGTTCTCTTATCCGTTAATAGTTTGTATGTTTCTAGGGAGATATTCTGTTTATGGGTGGCTTCTAAAAATCTAATTTCGGATGTAAGAGCTTCAGCACTCTCTGTTCGTTTCTTTTTAAGCATAGATGCTATCGCGATGAGGTGACCCCTTATGACGCACTTATGGGCTTCCCAAGTTGTCGTGGGAGATGTTGAGTGATCGGGATTTTCGTCAAAATATTGTTGTATCGTTTGGCGGATGGTTGTGATTGTGTCCGCGCCGTTTAGTAGCAGGTCGTTTAATTTCCATTGGAAGGAATATGGTGGTAGGTGGGGTATATGTATGGCGAGGGACAGGGGCGCGTGGTCGGACCAGGTAATAGGACCATATTCGCATTTTTGGACTAGATGTAGATATTTGTGTTGGGTGAAAAACATATCAATTCTGGAGTAAGATTTTGTAGAGTGTGAATAGTATGAAAAGTCTCGGTCTGTGGGGTGCGTTGTGCGCCAGATATCGAATAGTCTGGCGTCATCCAGTAGTGAGGTTACCCAACGCCTAGTTGAGGCTTGGTAGGTAGGTGCGTTGGAAGTCGTGTCCATGGTGGTGTCTAGTGATATGTTAAAGTCGCCTCCCATCAGGAGGATGCCTTCAGTAAACTGTTCCATTAGGTGAAAGTATTTTTTGAGTGCTTTCCCTTGTCTTCTGTTAGGTAGATATAGGTTTACTAGTGTCACTACGTGGTGGCCTATCTGTCCTTTTACCATTAGCAGTCTCCCTGTGTCAGAGGTTTGGTGGGCTTTATACGTGAAAAGGACTTTAGGTGAGATGAGTATGGCTACTCCTCGTGCTTTGGATTTTGTATAGTTACTGAAAAAGCCTGTAGGGTAGTGTTTGTTCCGTAGTGTGGGGGGTGCGTCTGCCTTAAAGTGAGTTTCTTGTAGGTAAGCTATGTCTGCCTTTAGTGTGTGCAGTTCTGTAAGTACCTGAGTCCGCTTTTCAGGGATGTTGAGACCTCTCGTGTTTAAGGATATCAGTCGTACAGAGGCCATGTCTCTTGTTTATAGGTCGTGCTTATCACTGGTTCTTGTTGATAGCGGGTCAGAGCTCGGTGGTGGAAAAGGGGGATGAAAAAGAAAAAGAGAACAAAAACTTTAACTATTTACAATTTTGTAGAAGGTCAATGTAACACTTAGGTTATATGTGATAAGGTAGATAACAGTGTCAGCCGGCGGTGACTGTTACTGTCCCCAGCAAATAGAAAAGGTATTGCCAGGGAGGCAAGTTTGTAACTGCACGTCTGGGCTCTAGGTGCCGCAGAGATCGCACAGGTGACACAGAGTATTACGTGTTACAACGTGCGGTGGTGGGAGGGAGAAAGAAATGGTGATTACCAACATGTGAAGGTAATGCACAATATTTCGTCCGTCAAGAAAAGCAGTGGGGGGGGAAATCCTTACTTTCCTTTTATATGAATAGGGAGTGAGCTAGAATAAGAGTCACCAGTTCCTGGAGGAGGAGGTGGAGGGAGTTGGGGGGGGGGTCTCTAAGCGTGGATCATGTTCTTACGTTGCCCCATATTAGTTGAGTGTAGTCTAAAGTAATACATGTCATTGTAAAATGCATCCAGTGTTAAAAATTTACATTTTTGGTTTCCCACATGTCCCCGTGTGTGGTGGATTGCGTAAGAAGTAGGGGTCGAGAAGGGGGGACCCTGAGAATCTGCCCTTTAATTTGTAAATATGAGTATGGTCAGATGCTTCAGTATAAAGAACAGGCAAGGATCGTGAAGGAGTCTGTCAGAGGGTAGTGATGGGGAGGGGGGTAGGGTGGGGGGGACTTATGTAAGGGTATCATAGAACGTAGTCTTGCCTGGCCTTTAAACAGTAGTGTACAATTTTGGAATAAGGTACATATATATATATATATATATACATCCCTATACATATATTTCTCAATCTCTAAGACAAATGAATAGTAATGATTACAATAATGGGGAATCTTTCGGTATTGGCTGACAGTTGTCCCAATGCTTGAAGGGAGGGGGGGGAGTGAGGCGGGGGGGAGGTTGATATACTGCACGAATAACTTGAGACCATAGGTTATAGTCAGGAGAAAACTACCCATGTGAATATATATTTCCAGCCTAATCCCTGGGACAGCTGGATATTTCTAAAGGTTTTTTTTTAATTTCAATATTAGTTAATATCATTCCCTTTCCCTGAGGCTTTGCATATATTACAGTTAATTACAGTTAATAGTGAGGTATGGCATTAGACAAGATATTCATATCGATCATAATTGCACTTATAAAGTCTTACGTGCCCCCTTATGTAGTAAACGCTTGTAGATGTGGGTGTAAGCAGGGATAGTAGCGGGATGTTGGTAGTGGTCCGTTTTGTATTTCATAGTCTATAAGGCATGTCCTGGAATTTAGGTAGGTAAGAAGAGAGTCCGAAGAGTAGTGTGGGTAATGTAGGTAGTCCTGTTGTGAGAGTTGGTTATTCGTCTGTTGTGGGAGTCAAAGTCCATTTATTTTCCAGGTTTTGTTTGGAGGGTTGAAGTTATGCAGGTAGGGGTAAGTCCATGGGTTAGGTAGGGTAGGTTTTGGGGCCTCCAGAACTGGTATCTTTTTGGGACTGTGTCCTTATCTGTTGGGTATGCCTTTTGGCGTGTTTGGGTTTTGTAGTGATTCTGTGGGTTTGTTTCTTCTTTTCCTGGCTGGTGTTTGCCATTGTTGCCTTTGTTGTTGGGGAGGCTGGAATGCCGTCTGTTGGTTGATACCATACCAATCAGGGATTTGGATATCTGGTAGGTCTAAGGCCTGTGTGAATATACGTACATCCAAGGGTGATGTGAGAGTATGGATTTTACTGTTATGAGTGGCAATTAATGCAAGGGAGAAGCTCCATCTATAGCGTATGTTTCGGGTCCGAAGTGTTTCTGTAATCGGTCTCAGTGTACGTCGTGCCTGTAGTGTTTGCCAAGAGAGGTCTGGGAATATTTGTATAGGGTCATTGTGGTATAGTATAGGTTGGGAGGTTTGTCTTAGGGCGCGGAGAATTTCTTCTTTAAGGGAGTAATAATGAATTCTACATACCACATCTCTCGGTTGGTCTCTTTGGGATCCCCTTGGTTTTAGGGCCCTGTGTGCATTGTCCAGTATTAGGGGGGTGTCTTCAGGTCTGCCCAGTATTCGATTGAACATGTCGGTTAGTGTAGTTGCAAGGTCTTCCCTATCTTGTTCTGGGAGTCCTTTAATCCTCAGTTTGTTCCTGCGCCCTCTGTTATCGACGTCATCCAGCTGTCGGTATAGCGCCGTTAAGTGTGCGTTGTGTGATGCGGCAGTTTCTTGGAGGTTCATTATTTGTGAGTCTAGGACATCCTTGCCATCTTCCAGGACTTGTACCTTTTCGCCTATTTGACGAATGTCGGTCCCCAGCGACGCCATTTTGGCCTGGAAAGAAACTTCCCGTTTTCCCAACATGGAGGCTATATCAGCTTTGGAAGGTAGGTTTCTGATTACCTCTTTGAGGTCGTTGTTTGTTGGGCATACTGATCCATCAGAGCCTTCCAGGCTGGATGGGGCAAAACTGTCTTGTGAAGATTCCGTCGCCATATTGGGGCCTAGCGTGCCCGTTTGATGGTCGGCGTGGTCCCGAAAATTTTTTGTCAGCGCTCCAGATTTCCCTATCGGGTGTTTGGAGGTTGTTTGCTGGCTGGATGTTGACCTTTTGGGGTGTCCCATTTTGGTTTTGCAGCTCGATGGAGACGGATTTCCCCCTTAGTCAGACGGAGCTGTTTCAATGTGCGTCCATTCACTTGCGCGGTTGGCTCCGCCCCGTGATTGTCTATTGTTGTGACTTAGATGATGATCAGATCACATTTTATGACCAATTTGTGCAGAAATCCATATCATTCCAAAGGGTTCACATACTTTTTCTTGCAACTGTATGTATCTAAAAAAAGGTTTTGTCTACTTTTTTTTACTGCCTGGGCTACTTTCTCTTCTGTGTGATTTGGAAGCTTATATAACTTGCAAAGCCTCTTTCTGCCTAAACTTATAGATCGGTCCATCTTCCTCACTCTGTTTTTTTTTTTTTAAATTACTAAATGCTAATTTATTTTAATTTTTTTACTATTTTGGGCACATCTTCAGAATACCACAGTGGTTTCTTTTATTTTTTTTTTTACTGACAAGCCTAATGCAATTTTCTGTTGCCTTCAGCAGTACAACTTTTAAACCCATGATGATAACTTCCTCCTTCATTGTCATTTTAGCTATTTCCTTAACTAGTAGATTATCTAACTCTTCAATTTGTCCTGGGGGCCTATAAATCACACCTACACGAGTTACTGTGTGATTACCAAATTCTAACGTAGCCTAAATTGACTAGATTTTATGCTATCCTTCAGATACAGGGGCACCCTTCCCCCTTCTTTGCCTTACCTGTCTTTTCTATATAAAGAGTATTGCTATGTCTCAGTAATTTTTCTCATTATACCATGTCTCAATAACAGCGATTGTTTCTGTCTGTGCTTTCATCGAGATTCTGGAGAGCATCAGCTGTAAATGGATAGAGAGGATGGGACATGACTTAAAAAGGCAAGGAAATGTCATATTATATCTAAACCATCCCCAGATGTTTTAAAACTACAGCTTCCGTGATGCTTTGCCATTCGAATGGCATTCCAAAGGCATGCAAAGCATAATGGGAGTGATAGTTCTACAATATCTGTGGATCATCATTTTGGGCACCCCTGATCTACACCTTTTTTTTACTGTAGTGGTCATTGAATTTTCCTTTGTCCCAGATGTTTCTGGAACCTAGAAATGCTTCTACGTCTATTCTTGTTCTGAGTGCAATTGTTTTCACATTTTCTAAGGTTTTTTCCATGTATA